CACTTGGCCCTGTCATTGGCTACCAGGATGGAATAAGGTCCTGTGAATAGAAAGCATTGCTTATTTAAAAAAAAAATAGCCTCAGAAATGTCAGAAGAGTATCAAGTCAAAAAGAATGGACTAGGGGGCTGGGGATTTAGCTGAGTGTCATAAGCACCTGCCTTGCAAGCAGGTGGTGGTGAGTTCGATCCCTGGTACTGATAAAAACTGAAAAAGACAAAAAAAAAAAAAAAAAAAAAAAAAAAGAATGGACTAGAAGGAAGGGGTCTTGGTCCCTCCTGCACAGGCTGGTGCTGTGTTTGTGGAAGGTAAAGAGCTTCAGCATGCCTCTGCCTACTGGGTAGGTGCCAGAGAGCACATAGGACTCCTGGGAAGAGATGTGGTGGTAGCCCAGCTGGCCAGGGTCCACTTTGTCCAGCAGACACCTCCTGACTTCCCCCACTACCATGGATGTTATGATGAAGCCACCGAAGCAGGCTGGTGTCTCCCTCTGGGGTTGGCCCTTGATTTTACCAGGACAAATTTTTCTGTTTGCTTTACCAGCTTTTGAGTGTGAAGACTGAGGAATTTGGGGAAGCCCCTCAAAGAGTCTGAAAGGAACCTCCAGGGGCAAGTGCCTGGGGTCAAGGCAGGTGGAGGGTATGGCCAAGTATGGGGCTATAGAAGGAACTGTCCAGGCAGCCCTCAGAAGATTCTGCAGCACCCGTATCGCATACCTGGTCCCCGCCTTAAAAATTAAAACATATGGAGCAGGGATATAGCTCAGTGGCACAGCACCTGCCTGGCAAGCATGAGGTCCTGAGTTCAATTCCCAGTGCAAAAACAAACAAACAAAAAAATTAACACTTATAAATTATACATGTTAATGAGGTTCAGTGTGCTGTGCCCACTCCTGCACACAGTGGGCATTGGTTAAATACATTCCTCCCTGTCTACTGCCTGCCCCACCCCTTAACTCCTGGTAATCTCTATTCTAATTTCAGACTGACTTTCTTTTTTGTTTCCAAATATGAGAGCGAGAGAGCATGTGATACTTGTCTCGCTGTGTCTGGCTTTTATAGTTTAACATAATGTCTTCCACTTTTATCCAATTTTCTGCAGATGTCAGGAATTCATTTTTTGTTGGCCGAATAAGTCCTTTTTGTACATATACGCCATATTTTCTTTACCCGTCCATCTGCTTGATGGGGCAGCGGACTCCATGCTTTAGCTATTTTGCATGCTGCCTCCATAAATACGAGGTCCCTGCCTTTCTGAGGGCTAAATGTTTGGTGAAGCACGTGGTGGTGGTTGGTGCAGGTAGTGGGGGACATGGTGGCCTATGCTGTATCCTGGTCTAGCTTTTAAAAGAGCAACTTTTAAAGGACAGCAAGGTGGGACCTTCTTAGTGTCCTTCCCCCATCCTTCCAAAAGCACCAATATAAATCAGTACAACCAACAGATAATTGACTGAAAAAGTGGCAGAAAGATCCAAAGGGGAAGGAGACATTGATGTTTGCTCTTCCCTAATTTCCAAGCTTTTGCTTAAGCACCACTTTCCCAGGGAGGCCGCCCTGTGCATCTCAATCCATGGAACACATGGTCTTAACATTCAGTCTCAGGCTTGTTTGTGTGAAATTCTGATGTCTCCTGGCACCAAGCGACTGTGGGAGGAAGGCTATAGCCTATAAATGTGACTTATTTTTCTTCTTAATAGTATCATTACCTGAACATTTTACTTTTTAGTCCATTGTTGGTTAGCTTATTAGGCTTGGTTAGTTTATTATGGCCTCTAAGAAAAAATTCATGAGACTACTGGACTTGTCTCTTTTTGTATCCCTAGGACCTCGAACAGCCCTGGTAGATGGTTGATGCATTAAAAATTTACTTAATATAAGAGAGCAGGCTGGCTTTCTGAGAGAAAGTGTCACAACAGTGAAAAGAGGCTGTTTCCTGCATTGCTGTGTAATAACTCTGGGAGCATTGGGGTCCTGTGCATCCTGAATCTTTCGAAAGTGGGGTTTCTTAGCCTTGGCATTGTTGCTATTTAGTATGGCTGTGCTTTGCTGCAGGTCTATCCTGTGCATTGTGGGGTGCTGAACAGCATCTTTCATCTCTATCCATGAGAGACACCAGCAGAGCCGTCCACAAAATGCCCATTGTCCAGTGTCTAAGGGAAAGATGTAGACTGCCAGTTGGTTGAAAACCACTACCCTAAATTAAAACTAGGATCCCTACCAGCTACATCTCCTTTTACAGAATGGGCCCCGTTGAATATGCAATTGCAGCTCGATACCTACGAAGGCTGTACATTTCTCCTATAATGAAGTGGCTCCCTGTCTACATCTTTCGCCCTGCTCTGCATCAATCACATTATAAGAGGCAGAAAGACAAAGGAAGGAAAGTCGGCAGACGCACATTCGTAGTGAGATGCATTTTTTATGGTGCTACAGCTCCTCAGATGTCAGCAGGAGACATGGAATTAGAAATAATTAAAGCACATAAACAAACAGGGGGGCGAGGCTCTGTGGCCTGTGGCACATCACACAGACACCAGCTGTCGCTGGGGGGTGGCTGGAGGGTTTCTGCTGGGGCGAGGGTGGGGGGCTGGCTTGTGCAGAGCTCTTTTGTGCTCAGGCTTCTGTCCATCTGTGGTGCCGGCTTTGACCGTGACGCGGCATGGAGGCTGCCCCTGTGTGACAGGATAGTGAGTCTCAGGCTTTGCAGAAGGCCTGAAGGCGGGGTGAGTGGCTTCAGACGGGGCTTGGGGCTGCTTTCGTACTTTTTAATGAAGGTGAAATGAAGTGTTGGCACCCTTATTAAAGTGCACTGCAAAGGGTTGGGATGATACCAATGCTGCAGACAAGCAAGAAGACTGAAGGAAGGGCTTGGGTCTTCAGTGTTAACATTTACAGTAACGGGGGGGGCAGATAGGCTGAAGGGAGTAGAGGGCATTAGGAAGAAAAAGAGGAATCTGAATATGTAATGTATGGATACAAATTCCCTATTATGTACAGTGTACCAATAAGCAATAAGAAATTTTAAAAAAACATTTAACAAACATTTTTAGTAAAACCTCAGTTCGTGAATGTTTTTGTTTGCAAATAATTCAGTTCACAAGCAGGCATTCAAGCAAAATTTTGCTTCTCTTCACAAACTCTGTATTGGGTGACAAACATGACCACAGTCATCTTCACCAGAAGACACAAATGCAGCCATCTTTCAAAACAAGCTAACGTTTATAAACTGAGGTTCCAATGTTAGTTGTAAAGAAATAATAAAATAAGCTTTCTGAATCTTAGTTTCTTTCTTACCCCTGGTTATCATGGCCATAAGAAAGCAAGAAGGGGCTGGGGATTTGGCTCAGTGGTGTAAGCGCCTGCTTGACAAGCGCGAGGTTGTGAGTTCGATCCCCAGTACCAAAAAAAAAAAAAAAAAAAAAAAAAAAAAGCAAGAAGGGGTATGTGCATGTAGTGTGGTGTGGGTATGGGAGTGTATGTGTGTATATATGTTTGTGGGATGTGTGTAGTACATATACGTGTACATATATGTGGTTGTGTGGTATGTAATACTACATATGTATTTTGCATGTGTGTGTGACTTGAATATGTATATTTGTGTGAGTGTGTGTGTGTGTGTGTGTGTGTAAGACACAGCCTGGCACACTTGTTCTGAAATTGCTTCATGTAAGAAACCCAAGAAAACATTGTTCCTAGTTTCTTATAAATGGCTGCATTGCTATGGTTGATTGTAAGCTTTCTGTCTCGTAGTAGTGTCACATATTTAAAATGGGAACTCCTGTTTGTTTGGGACTGTTTTTCCCCAGTGCTACAATCTGTGTTTGTATCCCATCAAAATGCATTTATTGAAATCCCAGCCACCAACATGGCTTTAGGATATGGGGCTTTGGTGGTGGGGTGTTTAGGTCATGAAGGTGCTGTCCTCATTGAGCATGAGCAGTGCCCTAACAAAAGACACCTGAGACTCTTCACTCCTTCCACCGTGTAAGAACACAGACAGAGATGCCATTTATGAATAAGCAAGTGGCCCTCACCAAATGTGAGATCTGCAGGTGCCCCAGCTTCAGAATGGTGATCGATTTCTGTTGTTCTAGTTTATGGTTTCTCCTACTATCCTGGGTAGACCAAGACACCTCATTTTTAAGAAGTATCTGTTGTCGTTTGCCATCAAGATGCTGCATACATCTGCTCTTAGTTTTGAGGTCATTGGGGGATGGTGGAGATGCCTGTAGACTTGGTAGAGTCCCACCCTGCCTGCTCCAATTGAGATTAAGTGTGCCATTGTTAGTCAGCAAGGCTGGGCTGGCCTCCAGTGTCATTGGGAGAGAAGCTCATGGCCCATCGTGGCTAACTGGAATGGAGTTCCTAAGATGGACTTTTAAAGTCACAGCTAATATTTCTTAAATAAATACCAAGGGTAAAAGCTTTGCTTAGGTAATGTGAGTCAGTCAAATAAACCAGTTAAGACAGCATGGAAGGGTGACCTGGTTGCAGTAAGATGTTCCAACATAGCTCTTAGTGGATGTTCTTTGCACCTTTCACTGTTTGGGTCTCCTCCTTTGATCTCATGAGGAGTACAAAGATGGCAGCTTTCTGAACATGCTGACCTTGTGTCCTGTCCTTAGGCTGCCATCGACATGACCTAGCCACAAAGACATCTTTGAATATCCACTGTATACTGTACCCAGCAGTGATGAGTGTGTAGTGAGATTTGGTGTGCAGGTCCCAATCTTCCCCAGGGTGTGTGTATGTTCCACTTTTAGGATTAGCACCAACTCCTTAGATATTGTTTTTGGGAACCCTGGAAACCCTCTATGCCCAAAGCTTGTCATCTTTTTAATGATCTGTCCTGGCCTGAAAACTGGGTTGGCCTGGACACCAACTCAGCCTCGGTATTCTTAGAAGACATAGGCCAGTGGCTTCAGGTGCCTCTGGGCCAGAGGGATCTGGGGGCTGAATGGAGTGGAGGTGCTTTAGTGACACTACTGCTTCTTGTTTCAGGGTGCAGCAGAAGACCCCCAAATGGCCCTGGCACTGAATTTAGACCCTACGTTGATGAAGAAGAAGTCAGATCCCGAGGGCCCAATGCTGCTGGTCCCCGAAAGCGAGCTCTCCATCCGGATAGGTAGTGCTGGGCAGCTTTCACGCAAGCTCTCTGCCACAGATGCTGAGCTGAGCCAGACAGCACACGCTGGGGCTGGTGGGAGAAGGATGGGGGAGATGTCGGGTGCTCTGCCAACCTCTCCTACTGCTGCCTACAGCTAAACCAGTGCTCTGGCCAGGAGCTTTTGTTTCTCATCTGCTCTCAGAAACACTTGCTTAGTGTCCACTCGCTTAAGTGTAATGACACCTTTTGATCCTCTTTCCAAACTGGTCAGGTGGACAGGGTCACTCTGATGGGGATGAGGCCAATCTGGATTAGAGAGTACGGCCATTTGTCTCTTTATCTTGCCTCTCTGATGAGCTGAGTGCCCTTTATAATTCTGTGTCCAGAGGATTGCCCCTCTTCCCTCTAGCTCTATGGCACTGTCACTGAGGACATCTGGCTCCTTCAGACACTAGGTAGCATCAGAAGAGTCACACAGCTGTCTTTTCCTTGAATTTGTGTAGGAAGTCCTAATTTGAGGTCCCTTTGCTCTCCCACTTGTGTAGAGGAAGCCTATAGGAATAGAAACCATGCAGATGATGGTGAGATCAGGCTCTTCCCTGCTTACTTGGTACTATCTTTTCTTTTTTCTCTTTTTGGTCTTTTTGAGATTAGGGTCTCGCTATGCAGTTAGTCTGGCTTTGGGTTCACTTTGTAGCCCAGGCTGGTCTTGAACTTGCAACGATCCTCCTGCCTCAGCCTCCGAGTGCTGGGATTACAAGAGTGTACCACCATGTCCAGCTTGGTGTTGTCTTTTGGTAAAACAAGTCAGTGACTGTTCACCATCTTCACAGGAGTGAAGGAAACACCGTTGCTTTTCTTGTGTCATTTTGGCATTTTAATTGGATATATTTGCTGTCTCTAGGCTGAGTGTATCTCTAATCCTTGGGGAGAGTTACAGCCAAGCCACAGCTCAAACTCAATGATCTATGTTCAGATTCTGCCCTCTGTACATTACTCACAGAGAATGCAGATATCTGCTCCATACCCATTAATCCTCACTGTCCCCCATGACTTCCCATGTGGGCTGAAACCAGGAAATAAAAATACCACATACCAGCCTCAAACCACATACTGCCCACTGCCTGCAGTCACAGATCTTGTTCCTGTTTGAAGCAGAACAGCTGAGCTAGTGCCTACTGTGCTTCTTTCCCCTGAGTGTTGTCAAGGCCTCTTCCTAGGGGTGCAGGGGATGGGCACTATTTTCCCACAAATCTTGCCATTTTCCATGCTGAGTCCTGGACTCATGGGCCTTCCAGTGGATTCTACTAGCGATTCTGTGTTTGGTCTTCCATGTGCCCTTTGGAAGATGTTATGGTTTTGATTCTGAGCCTTCTCTAGGATGGCAGAGTTGGCCAGACTTTATTCTGTCCATTTGTTTACCTTTAAAGCCACCGAAGTGGGTACAGGGAAGAGATTCAGTGTCTGTCCATCAAAAGAAATAGAAAGTGGCAATCCTTTCACTGGGCTTTTTCCAACTGCAAGGATAGGGCTGGGAGTTGGCTCTGCAGGAGGGCTTGGGGGGTGCTGGGTCTTTTTGGCCAATCTGGGGTTAAGCCAGGAGAGTGTAGGAGGAAGCTGCTGGTCCCGCCCTGAAGTACTAGGGTGCACCAAGTGGTTACCAGGTTACTAAGCAACCCTCTTAGCTGTTGCTAACTGCTCAGATCCATCTTGGCTCTTTGGTAGCGAGAAGATGGTTTGCTGAGCCCGGGAGTGCCCAGCCATCTTGTCTCACCTGGGCACACCTGTGGTGTCAGGCGTCTGAGGACTCTTCAAACTGATAATGGATATTTGATGATTGGCCTTGTACGGATCCAGCCTGAATATGAATTCTTTGTACCATCTGGATTTGCCCTTAAGCTTGCTGTAACCAGAGCAAGGAGATTGGTTTAATAGGTGTTTAGTAAGGAACATCAGCCTTTAAAAAATAATATTGGTGCAGCCGTTATCATGTCCCATAATTGGTTCAGCAAGAGGAGGCAGAAAAGCCACGCGGCGGGAGAGAAGTACAGCTGCCCTGAGCTCAGCAGCAGCTGAGCTGGGAAAGCATTTATGAGATTCTTTCTTATTTATGTTTTGTGCCAAATGTTTTACAATATCAGCTATTCTCAAGGCTTTGGATATTTAGCTAGGTCAGAAGTTCTTTTAAAACTATCAGTCTCTCTTTCTATCCCTCTGCCTCCTCAACATCCATACCAACCGGCTTTCCTTTAATTCAGATATAATAATCACAGTTTAGTCTCCTATCTTGGCCGTAGACACTATGTCTGGTTTCTTATGTATCCTTCTAGAAGTATGTTTATACAACCATACTAGACCCATTGTTTTGGTTTTTTGGTACCGGGGATCGAACTCACGACTTCATGCTTGCCAAGCAGGCGCTTATACCACTGAGCTAAATCCCTGGCCCCCGACCCATTGTTTTGTAGCTTGAGGTTTTTTCACTTAAAAATACGTTTTTGTGATTGTCTGGGACACTTCTAGATCATCCATCTCATTCTGTGTGTGTGTGTGGTACTGGAAATTGAACTCAGGACCCAGAGCTTTTACGTTAACCTACATCCCCAGCCCTTTCTAACATTTTAAAATTTTGAAACAGAATTTCACTAAGTCACTAACCAAGCTAAGCTCAAACTTGTGATTCTCCTGCCTCAGCCTCCTAGATTGCTGGGGTTACAGGTTAGTTGGGATTATACTACTATGCCCAGTTCATTCCAGCAATTATTAGCTGTGATGTTACATCGTTGAGAATCCTTTGGATAAATTCCAGTCTTTCGCTATTCAGGATGCAGCAGGAGGGCAATGTAGGATGCACATCGCTGTACAAGTATCTTGTTGAGTACATTCTAGAAATTAGGCTGGGGGTTGCCTACATGTTTGGTCTCTGTATGTGCGTATACCTGCTTTGGGAAGGCAAAGGGCTATATTCTCCAGATGGCTCTATGGCTCCAATGTGCTCTCAGTCTTGGCTTCTCTGCCTCACCTTCCTCCATTCTGCCAAGCAGAACTTTTTTTTTCCTCCCTGCACTGGTACCCTTCCCAAAGAGAAGTTGCTTTGCTCCTTCCTGGCTGTGGCCTGTTACCTGGGTTTCTTCAGTGAAAGTATGGGCCTGAATCAGAGTAGCTATTAAAATGTGTCATGCCAAATTTTGTGCATGAAGAACAGAGGGTTCAACGCTAATACTCATAATTGCCAGGAGCTCTTTGGTATCACGGATGTTAAAGAAAGCAAGCAGCTAATGTGTACATATTCTCCTGAACAGAGCTCAGTGCAGACAGCATGAGACTGGCTCATGGGCCTGATGCCAGACACATACAGTTTGTAGAGTTTTGGCTTCTGAAGAGTCTTGTATTAGCCTTAGCATTCAAATAGCCCTTTCCTTCTTCTTTTTTTTTTTTCTTTCCTTTAAAAAAATAGTCCCAATTTTCTGAGCTAGGTAGTTATTTCAAGTTATTAATGTGGCTTGGACTAGAGACAGTTTGGCATGTATAGCATGCATTTGCTCAGGCTGTCATAACAAAAGCCCACGCACTGGGAGGCCTGAGGAGCAGAAATTTGTCCTCTCACAACTCTAGAGGCTGGGCACGTGAGATCAAGTTGCTGGCAGGGCTGTTTTTCAGAGGTTTCTTTCTTTGGTTTGCAGAGTCTGGCTTCTCCCTGAGGCTTGATGTGGTCGTCTCTCTATATGGCTGTGTGCCAATTTCCTTTTCTTATAAGGACACCAGCCCCTTGGGATTAGGATCTCACTTTAACTGAGTTACCAGGATCCTGTCTCCATATCTGTTTGCTTTCTACAATACTGAGCATTGGGACCTCAACATATAAACTCAGGTAGTGGGAAGAAAGTCTCAATTCAGTCCATCACATTGCTGAACCATATTTTTTAAAGTGTCTTCTTCCCACGGATGGTCATTGATCTAAAAACAGAGACCCAGGTAGCGAGGAGGCTACTTCTTTTTGAGTTCCTCACTGTGTAGTGGTTTAGATTTAAAGTGTTCCCCAGAAGTCTCTCAGGTGTGAAAGTCAATCAGATTGTGAGAAGCTATTCTTATTGGTGCATCCATCTGCTGATGAGTTCATAACTGGATGTACTGTTAGGAGGTGAGTCGCTGAGGATGTGACCTGGAAGGGTATGGTCTGGTCTCTGGCTCCTCCTTTTTCTCCCTGCTTCCTGCTTTCATGGGCTTAGTTACCAGCTTTTCGCTGCCAGGCTCTTCTACTATGTCTTTTTACCTTGGAGCCAGCCAAGCCATGACCTGAAAATGTGAGGGAAAACAAACTTTTCCTCCTTTACGCTATGAGTACCGGGTACTTTGTCCCAGATAAGGAAGTGACTAAGACACACTTTCTAGCTTCTTGTTAGCCTCCCACTTGGATGGGCTGGGCATGCTGAGGAAGCAGGATGGAACAAGGTAGGATGAAGTTGAAATGTTACTCAAATAGCAAGCAACCAGGAGGAAGTCCAAAGGATTTGAGTCTGACTATGTGAGACCCCTGGCAGGCGTATATCCTAAGCAAATGAAATGCAACGGGACCCTAGGTTCTCTACTCTCACTGTCCCTGGCATGCTGTACTCTAGCATCTTTGGGGTGATTAATATGAATACATATTTGAGTGTATAGAAGTGCTCTTCTGCCTGAATGTGTTTCTTGCTGTGACCACCAAAAAAGTATTACAAACTGGGTGGCTTCCAAACATGGTTGGAAATGTATTCTCTCCCAGGCCTGGGGGATAGAAGTTTTTGAATCAAGCCCTCTAAAGGCTTGAGAGGTGAAGCCCTCTTTCCCTTTGCTAACTTTGGATCCAGCAGTCCTTGGTTTGTAACTGCATTACTCCAAGTACCACTGCTGCTATAATGTAGTGTCTTCCCTGTATGGGTGTCTGTGTCTCAGTTCATGTCCAAAACTCTCTTTCCTTTCATTGATAAAGACATCAATCTTTGAATTAGAAGCCCATCCTAATCCATGAGGACTAGTAT